GTTTTCACATCTATACTTTTCAGACTGTCTGAAAGTTCAGGTGTCTGTAGCAGAACTTTGTTTTTCTGCTTTTGCTTCTTTTCTACTCTGATTATTAATTTCAATACCTTTAAAATGTATCTCCTAACTCTTTGGAGGGGACCTGAACTTTAGGTTGGAAAATTAGCTCCACCTCAACCAGCTACAACAGTAAAATGGTATGTGCATTGATGCATCAGTAGGTCTTTTACCAATATAATAACGTCAGGCCATCAGTGTGACCAATAAATGTCACCCCCAACCACTCCCGCCCCCCACCACAAACATGACATGGGGAAGAGACATGGACAAATTGCATTAGGCACTTTCAGGAATTCCACTAAACACCTGACACTACCTCAAAGGTATTCATATTGTATATATGTATCTTTGTGTGTGTGATTGCATTATGTTTGTATAATGTTTGTAATACATTCCAAACATGTTTCTAAATGTATGACAAGTTATAGAAAATATATATTTTAGATACATAGGAAGTATATGATTTTATATTGCACATAAAATAATTACACCTGACATTTTCTCTCTATATAGAGAATGTGTGTTCAGGAGCCAAAGGATTGATGTATATTGCACAAAGAATATTTCAATATTGTTACATAAACTGTCAGTTATACTGTTAAAAATATTGTACTATTGTGCTAAATACAGTTCCATGTTTCTGAGATGTGATTAAATAAATCATTACCACCAGAGGAGGGCAAATATTTAGTGCAAATGTGGAGTTAAAAGGCGATGCGAGCAACGATTCAAATGATGGAAAGAACATGTGAAGGGCATTTGTTTGGTGGTTGAAATGCGTCACCAACTAAGGGCGTGTTCTTCACAACAGGGTCTATATAGTTCTGTCATCTCGGCCACTGAATACACAAAGCATCATTGCAGCCACCTGTTACACGCAACAAATTAACTTAAAGAGCTCTCATCTAAAAAAAATGCAGGCTGAGGAATACAATCGCAGAGGTAATAATTAGGTTCTATTTTACTATATACTGACTTGTTTTGTCTGTGCTGTTGTATTTCTTTATTTATAAAAATAGCCAAGGATGACGATTGATACATTTTAATAAGAATATCATTCCAGCTGTTACAGTATCTGTTACTGATCAGGTAAGGAGCTGGTAGACTACATCACACAGTACTTGGGCACCATCAGGGAGAGGAGGGTGATTCCAGATGTGAAGCCAGGTTACATGAAGGACCTTCTTCCTGACACTGCACCTGCAGAGCCGGAGGACTGGGAAAGTATCTTCAACGACATTGAGAAAGTCATCATGCCAGGAGTAGGTTCCTACTGTCTTCCATCATCATATCAGAAATGTGAAACTATGGCAAGGAAGCATGTGTTTTCATACCTTTTTCCCCCAGGTGGTTCACTGGCAGAGTCCTCACATGCATGCCTACTACCCGAGTCTGACTTCATGGCCCTCTATGCTCGGGGACATGCTGGCCGATGCCATCAACTGTGTTGGATTCACCTGGGTGAGGGGACAACCTGCACTATTTTCTCCACTACGCTACCTAAAAACAACAAAAACATCGCAATAACAAAGTCATGCCAATCCAAATTAATTATATTGGTTATCTTTGGTTTTGAACAGGCCTCCAGCCCTGCATGTACAGAATTGGAAATGAATGTGATGGACTGGTTGTGTAAAGCACTGGGGCTCCCCTCCTTCTTCCTGCATCACCATCCTGGCAGCAGAGGTGGAGGCATACTGCAGGTTACAACACCTTGATCTGTTTATTTTAAACCCAAAATCTTCATACAGTTGTCTCTGCGCTAAAAGGGAGCTTATTATCTTTCTCTTCTACCTGATTCTCCTGTTAGAGCACTGTCAGTGAGAGTACACTGGTTGCTCTGCTGGCAGCCAGGAAAGACAGAATTTTGCAGCTGCGGGCTGAGCTTGACCAGGAAGTGGACGACTCTGTCCTAAATTCGAGACTTGTGGCCTACGCTTCAGATCAGGTCAGTGTTACCACTTCTTTCACAATAACTAACACAATCAACCAGATAAAACTGATTTGATGTGCAACTGCTTTTATAGGCTCACTCCTCAGTTGAGAAGGCAGGTCTGATCTCTCTGGTGAAGATCAGGTTTCTGCCCACTGATGAGCAGTTGTCTCTGAGAGGAGAAACTTTGAAACAAGCCATACAAGAAGACAGGAGGAGGGGACTGGTCCCTTTCATGGTAGGTATTGGACACTGGTGGGTATCATGGAGGTAAGGCTGTGTTTATGTGGAGATTTTAAGAATCATACCAGTGTTTACCAGTGTTTTTTCATGTTTAAACTATTTTAAGCAAGGAGGAATTATTTATCTCTTTCATGTCGGTGCATTTAAGGAAAATCCAATATCCACTCCATTACATTTACCTGTTACTAGTTACTTCACAAAAAAGTATTTTACAAAATACATACAAGCATATAAAATACAATATATTCATTATAATTATGAATAAAGATTAACCTAGTGATTTCGGACCTTTTTGGTTTGTGAATCCTCATATAAAAGCAGTGTCTAGTTGTGGCTCCTTGTCACATTTCAAATAGACATTTCCTCTGTAGACTTCTCAGATGATTTACATTAAACAATGCTTTGGTCTCAAAGAGGGAAACTCTAATATTCTAAAAAAGAAAAAAGAAAAAGCAAAGCTTAGGAAAAAGTCTGAAAAAGTGATAAAAACGTGTGTATCAGAACTTTGTTTTTTCCTCTTTTCAGTTGTGTGCAACTTTAGGAACCACAGGAGTGTGTGCCTTTGACAATCTATCTGAACTGGGACCAGTCTGTACGTCTTCAAATTTACTCCCCACAATGTCTGCTTTAACACTGGCTGTAAAATCAAAATATTGTGTTGTTCCATTGGGATGCATTAGGAGAATTACAGTACTTTAAATATTTTCTACAGGTGCAGAAGAGGGACTGTGGCTCCATGTTGATGCTGCGTACGCTGGCTCAGCCTACTTCTGTCCTGAGCTCCGCTGGTCCCTGGAGGGCATTGAATTTGCTCACTCTTTTGTCTTTAACCCTTCCAAGTGGATGATGGTCCATTTTGACTGCACAGCTTTCTGGTGAGAAAGAACACTGAAGCCTTATCTCACCTCTATAGAAATAAACAGTATCACTGAAATTAGATCTGAAATTAAATACCAATAAATCCAAATTCAATGTGAAAGATGCTTGTTGGTTGGTAATATGGTTTAACATTGTTTTCTCAGGGTGAAGGATAAATACAAGCTCCAACAGACGTTCACTGTTGATCCCATTTACCTCAGACATGAAAACTCACAGGCAGCCACAGATTTTATGGTATGATACTGACATGTCTTCACCAAATTAAAGATTAAATTATCATAGTGAATCATTTTGTGCAATCTTACAACTCTTTCATGTTATCCAGCATTGGCAAATTCCCCTGAGTCGACGTTTCCGTTCTCTCAAACTCTGGTTTGTTATGCGCTCCTTTGGACTGAAAAACCTCCAGGCTCATATCAGACATGTAAGTGGCATTAAGTTCTCTGCAAATTGTTATAAGAATAAATATGAGATATTGTCAGATGAGAGAATTCTATGGTAACCCACATAATTTTATTTGTTTTTAAGTTCTCAGAATTGACATGTAAATGTATTCTGTCTTTTTTAGGGGATTGAGATGGCAAAGCTCTTGGAGTCTCACATAAGAAATGACCCAAATTTTGAGGTTCCTGCTGAGAGGCACCTTGGCCTAGTGGTCTTCTGTCTGAAAGTATGTAGCACACATTTAGACTATCTACACAGCAAACTACTAAAATTTTAAATTGAGTTTTATCTTTGTTAAGCAACATGTCTGGCTAATCATTGTTGTGATGTAAGACTTCCCTGTCACACCTTGTTCAAAGGTCAACAAGCACAGGTGAAGGGCAGATCAATATCTGTGATCATTAAAAAGAGCAGAAACCTTGAACTGATTTTGTTTGGAAGCTTTGGAGTTTTTTGGCCCTGCAACATTTATGAATATATTAAGTGATTTTATTTTATTCTAGGGAGGAAATGCTTTGACCCAGGAGCTGTTGAGAAGACTGACCCGGTCAGGCACCATGTACCTCATCCCTGCAGACATTCACACCAAACGCATCATCCGATTTACGGTGACCTCGCAGTTTACTACCGCAGAGGACATCCTTAAGGACTGGAGCACCATCTCCAAAATGGGTTCCACTCTTCTGGCTGAGAATAATGCAGGCCAACCAAAATCAGGGAAAGATGAGGTGTTAGGGTCTGATGGAAACCCAGAATCAGATACCAGTTCTGAGGAGAGAGAGAACGCTGCCTCCATGCTGGAGAAGGCTGAAGTGGAGCTGTGGATTGACAAGGTTTGGACTCGATCTAGGAGGCCAATGCGCTCCCTTAGCTGCAACAGCGAGCCTCTGCCTTACACTTACATTGGGCCGCTGTCTGGCAATGACTTTGAAACAAGGCCTAGCCTTAAAGATGCTGCAGGTACCCTCCCCACTCCATCAATGACAGGATCCGGCCCTGTGTTTAAGATTACAGACACGCCGTCAAATCTTCTGGGTAAACAAGTCCTTAAAAAGCTGACGAAGTTTTACAGTGTGCCCAGTTTCTGCAACCAGTGGGTGCAGTGTGGCCGCCACCAGCTGTGCTGCCCTCTGAAGGTTTCACAGGCAGCTCAAAAACACTTGTCCTCAACCTGCAGAAGAATGAACTGTATGTCTTCTTCTCCTGTAGCCAGCACAGCTCCTGCACCAACTCCTCTGGAAACTGCCACAGCACCTAAGCACCTGTAATGACCTTGAAAGCAGTGTACAGTAGCTCATACACACACTGCCATTGATAATGAAGCAATTTACTACTATACCAGGTGTGATGGCGCTAAACCAGCACTGTCAGATCTTGGCAAATTGAAGATCACTATCTAACTGTGTCAGTGATATTGGGATTGCTTTGCTCATTTACAATCTTGTTTTCAATATATTTTTATTAAAATGTATTTGAAACAAAATGACATCCCTTGAATTATTTCAGTACACAATATTCTCCACAGAAGATGAAGTACCTCATGAAATGCGCTGTACATAAACACTCAACGTGCAGGTCATTTAGCATTATTTTAATTATTAATTATTAATTAATTATTTAGCATCCTATATCACCTAAAACATAAAAATCGAATCTACTATTTGAGGTTGACAATCCAGTAATAAACGTTGATCTCATTCAGAACCTGATTCTTCCCTCTGCGACGGAGCTGAATATCTCCTGAGTCATGGGCACGTAGCCCTTATTGTCCTCCAGGTAGAACAAAGGGTCCCTGATGACAGCAGGGTTGAAGCCCTCCTCTGCCAACTTCATCTTCATTTGTTTAAATGTCCCAGTTACCACCAGTGCATCCTACCAAAGAAAAATTAATAGTTACAGTATACAATAGTTTCAAGACATTTTCAGTTAAATTCCTGTTAAAGAATTTATTAATAAAAGAGAATAAACAGAGAAGTACTAAAACACATATACAGTTGGTCCAGAGACCTGCTGCCTAGGGCAGCTTCGGACATCTGGCCCCGAGCAAAGGGATGCATCATCATTTACACAGTCTAGGTTTCTATGTTTTGGGGAACAGCGATCCTCTCTCAGCCTTAAATGAACATTCCAGGAGAGGAGAGGAACAACAAGAGAGGAAAACACCAAAACAATCTCACAGCTCTGACCTAAACCCTAGTTAATATCGACTAACATAAGGAGTATAGGAGAGGAAAGGTTAAGGATAAAAAACAATACATGTATATCTATAAGACATAACAATACTAGTAATAATAATAATAGTAAAAAAACATAAAAGGATTAAATGTAAGAAGATTTTCTGCCATAACATCATGATCTTGTTAGTAAATTCAGCAGGACTTTGTTTACCTGTATGCGAATGAAACGGGGCCTTGCATAGCTGGGGAGGTAGTTTTTGACGTGTTGATATGTAGCTTTGCTGTCAAAGTCCATGTTTTCTTTTAGCTTCAGTGCTGCCATTCCAACTCGTCCCTCATGTCCTAATCAGTGAAGGTCAAAGTAGTACGCGTCATTTTTTGTTTTCGCCAGGACAAACAGTTCTTTGAATGTTTCATATTATGGCAAAGTATTTGGGCACTTTAAATGCATGCTTTCCTGTTTCATATTTTTCTCATTCAGTGTTTTTTAACTTAATTTGCAGGATTACATGGTTCATGGTTACAATGATTCACTACTGATGGGAATGTGAAAGAGGTCTTACTAAATATTTATAAACCCAAAACAGATTCAAACAGATATAGTGGTCAGATGAAAGACTTTTACTAAATTTCATATTTTGGAGATACACAATTTACCCCACATAAGATATTTCTAATAACAGTTATCCAATGAGTATGTCCTTTATCAGTCCTAAATCATTGCTAATAATGTAATTATTACCTGGCACCTTCACACCATAGACATTAGCCTCCTCGACGCAGTCCACCATGAGCAAATGATCGGCCACCTCTGTGGTTGCCACATTTTCTCCTTTCCACCTATATTGGATGACAACACAAATATAGTATGCTCATAACTTAGCTTCATTGTTTTCATTTAGGACTGGGAACAGTTTGTTATAATTTAGATACAAGCATAGTCGGAGAAAACCTTTAAAATTTGCAGAAAATGCTGAAATAATAATTAAATGAATATTCTTAATTTTGTCTGCATTTCCTGAAATTATGTTATCTAAATCCAAGGCCTTTAACTGTTTTAAATATAATCATATTTGATGTATTGATTTCTTAATCAAACTTAAAGTTGGTAAAACTTGCAGGGATTCTGGATAACATTCATCTACAAAGGTCAACCATATTACACAGTTCAGGCATTGTTCTGCCTTTGACATGAAACAAATTTGACAAGCTGAGCAAATAATGAAGACTCCACATCATGAAACAGTATTAATTCTAGCCACTGTTCCAAGATTTGTAATCATTGTCTCCATTGTTTACTGTCCTTGTCAAATTGGTTCAATTTGTTTCATCCTGTGGAGGAGCTGTGTCTGGGACCTGTGTGGTGTTGTGTGTGTATGTGTGTGTGTTGCAGGCAAACAAGGAGATTGGGAGCACCTGGCCAGTGAGCCCAGCCTATTTAAGCCTGCCCACCAAGACACCAAGGTTGGTGCTGGCGCCTTCCACAATGCGTTGCCACACTGTTCTTTTGTTTTGATCTGTTGCATCCTCCTTCTTTGTTGCAGCCTGAGAGCCGGGTCGTAACACACCCACGTACCTGAAAGTGTCTCCAATGCGGTCTTGAAAGTAGATAAATCCCTCGTTGTCTATCTTTAGAAGGTCGCCACTGTTAAAGTAGAAGTCTCCCTTCACAAACACGTCTCTCAGCTTTTTCTTCTCTGTCTGCTGCTTGTTCTTAGCGTAGCCACTGAAAGGTGTTAGTTTTCCAATCTTTGCCACCAACAAACCAGTCTCTCCTGTTGGTGAAAACAACAATCACGATATATGTAGTAAGAGCTGAACATATTTTTGGAGGAGGCTGGCTCACCTCTGGGTACTTCAATACAAAATCCTCTGGAGTCTTTGACTGGCTCCTCTTTCTCTGTGTCGTATCTTATCAGTGCATATGGACATCCCATCTGAAAAAAAACAAGAATGAAACACGTGGAAAAGAATAAAGTTATCAGTCATATAAAGAAGCTTGATTCCCACATTAAAATTATTACCATTACTGTACTATACATATTATTTATATTGTAATGATGCAATTATCGCCTGTAAAAGTTGAATAAAATTTGTTTGCATAAGGGACAAATATTTACTTTTTGGAGAAAATGCTCTTTGCCAATAGCTCCAACTTTGCCAATGTAGTTGACAAAGCCAATATTTCCTTCAGTGGCTCCGTAGCATTCACATATACGAATGTCTCCAAATCGCTGCAGGAAATCAGCCCAGGTGTCAGCCCTTATCCCGTTCCCCAAAGCCAGTCGGACTTTATGATCTCTGTCATTGTCTTTCTAAAGGAGAGTGAAGGACCAGTGAAATTGAGATAATAAACACATTATGTTTACCTTTGGTCTTGTGTCTGACTGCTGCAAGTCAGACACAATATAACTATATGTAATATTATCCTGAGGTTTACCTTTGGTGTGTTGCAGAGGTAGCGCATAATTTCTCCTATATACTGAACAACAGTCACATTGTACTTTCTGCAGTCATTCCAGAAGTGGGTGGCAGAGAATTTACGTCTTAAAACAACAGTGATGCCTAGAAATGGAGAGGCACAGATTTCAGCAACATATAATATCACACTCAGAGCTCAGTAAGTATTTGTGATCATGAGGACTTTGAAATACAAACAGTGGAAATCAGAGCTAAACTGATGGTTATTTGAAGTCCTTTACCTGTTAGTTTAACCTTTAGTAAACTCATCAGAATTGGATATCGTATTTTGAAGTTTTATGATGACATGAATTACCTTTTTCTATGGCGCCGCAAAGTCCCATCAGAAAGCCAGCACTGTGGTAAAGAGGCAGGTAAATGTAGATGATATCGTCTGAGCATACGCCAGCAATAGACTGAAGAAAAGATGACATCCATAGCCTCTCGTGGTTAATTACAGCTGCCTTGGGAAGACCTAAAAGATAATATCACCATTAGAAACAGACGTGGCATTCTTTTTTGTCCTACTTCTGTCGCTCAAGGCCTGCACACAAAAAATACGAACACAGATTAGAAGTTCAGATTACCTGTGGTTCCCGAGGTGTAGATGTACAGCACAGGACTCTTAATGTTAATGTTGGCTCTCAGCCGAGGTGACAGAGGCTCGTCTGAGGCCTGCCGGATTTTATCACAGAGGCTTTCAATGCCCTCCACATCACAGTCCTCACTGAGGATAAACACACGGATGCCCTGCTGCTTCAAGGTGGGCAACACCTCCTCCACAGCCCCTCGCAATTCTGAGAGACAAAAATAAGACAGCTTCATGGAGGTCGATGTAGTGACAACGGAATTGGGAAAACAATCTATAAAGATGTGGAGAATCATGGGAATGAAGGCTATTCAGAACTTGTCCAGCTTTGATATTAATTTAACAACTGACACTAATTAATGCTTAAGTATTATCATTAAGATTATTATTAGAATTATTGTTATTATTATTGTTATTATTAATTAATACTTTATTTGTATTTTGAGACAACAAAAGGAAATGGACTCTGAAATAGAAATGGTAGTACATCTACCGATATCAGCTTATTGCAGATATATCAGTATCGGTGTGTTTGTCAGGCGATAGCTACTGTAAGTAACAAGAAATTGCAGTACAGAAATTCCAAAGTAGGTTTGAGCTAATTTAGTGTCTCCATAATAATGTCATAATAATTTGTCCACCAGAGAGAACTAATCTGAACTGAATTGGATTTTTCAACTGCAAAGTATCTGGCCACCAGTGCATCCTACCAAAGAAAAATGAATAGTTACAGTATACAATAGTTTTGAGACATTTTCAGTTAAATTCCTGTTTTGTTACATGTCATGTGTCGTGGAAATTGTATCTTGCTGGTGAGAGATTAAGCAAATAATTGAGTAACAACTGTTACTGAAAAGTAACCGTTGTCTGCAAAGTATGTCTCTTGATCATATTTTAACATTTTTTTCATCATTTCATGGTACATGTTTAGGCCTATTTTAAAAGAAAATTGCTTTATTTAATGGGTGATATATAGTTATTGGATATCGACATCAGCATTGTCCTCAAACATCCAGTATCGGTTGATATTCAAACAACATGCAAAGAACATAATCACTTGAGGATACAAACATCATTAACATCATTGATAATTTATTAAAGAAGAGGACAATACTCAAGACAAGACTCCTACCTAAAGAACTGAAGAAGAATGAAATTTAAATGAAGATGAAGATATACTTTTATTAATCCCGCAGGGGGAAATTCAATGTTTTCACTCTGTTATTATTGTTAGTATTCACACACAGGTCCGAAACACATGCACAAACAAGATCCATAGCAACACATGGAGAGAGTGAGGGGGCTGCCACTCAGTGAGCAAACTAGGGGTTCAGGGGTTTGCTCAAGGCCACCTTTGGCAGTCTCCAGGAGGTGAACTGAACCCAGCCTAATCCTAACGAACTGAGCTACTGCCGCCCCCAGGTTTGTGGGACAACAGGGAGACCGGGCACGGTTGTAACATGGGGAGAGTTGTAACAACACCAATTCCATCAATTAAAGATAAGATAGGATTTAGGTGATCATTTCATTTTTTACCTTCTTCCTCCCCAATCCGACATGGTGGTTATCAAGTCTGGAAACAGGTACATTCAGAATATATAGAGAAAAAAATGATTTTGAGGTAAGAAAGTAAATTTTTTGACCAAGACTATTTTCTTTAGTATCTATACTATACAGATAAAATTGTATGTTTTTTAACTCTTACTGCGTACCGGTGAGTACCGGCCCACTTAAAGCACTGACTGTGAGTCTGATTAAGAATATACACACATTGACAAACATAGACACACACCTCTTTCTTGATAGAAGGATAGAAGGATGTACAAAGATATTCTTAAAGTATATTTTAGTAGTATTTATAACTGAACAAGTTTATTCTATAGATTAATTTACATACACATACTGTACATGCGCGCGAGTCATCAGACATAGTCCGTTGTGTGAGAGAGAAACATAGTTCTTTTATATAACTACATGTTTTTGAAGCATATCATGGTGTGGCTTCTACTTTTGCTTCTTTTGTCTTATTGTTACAACTTACCCCAGCATGCAGTGGCGCCACCAGAAACTTTGGGCCCCATGCCAAAAAATCTAATTGGGCCCCCTTTGTGCAGCTGTCGTCACCACATCTCTAGGACCTAACTGTCCCATCAAAAGCATTACATAACTCTAATTAAAGGCTTGCAACTGTCTTTCTTCTTGTAGTTCAATACTAGTACTAACACAATACTGGTGATTTGTACATGTAAGTCTACATACAGTAGGGGAGAGCCAGGACGATTGAAACACTTTTCAAATATATCATCATTTCAATCGTCATTTTAAAATATAATGCTACAGACAACTTCACTAGTTTCTAAACTGTAAAACTTCAGGATGTGTTGAAGTACTAACTAATCTTTCATGTGATCATGACCATGGCACATGGAACAATAAACACAACTCCTCATTCAAAAAAAAAGATTGCTTCAGTGAATTTACTTTCCGTGATTGAAAACAGCTTCTTTCGTATAACTCCGTAAAAGTGTGACGTATCCACCTGATTTTCCCCGGTTCTGTTAAGTACTGAGGACTGTATGTGCTGAGGTAATTTGGCATGTCAGACTTGTATGGGCTCTGAGAAAATCGCTGTGTTTCATTCGTCCCGCGTTTCAATCGTCCCGGCTCTCTCCTATGCAGTTCACTATTTGATTTAAGGTTAAAAGCCACCATAAAAACGTCCTTAAGGCAATCTTTTACAGTCTCAATGTATTTTTATAGTAAAATTAACTATCTATAGAAGTCATTTAACAGCCATAATTAAATCTAAATGTATCAAACTGGATTATTTTAATATTGTCTGTAAATTACATGCAGGCTGAGGTAATCTACTCACTGTTTCCAACAAATGTTTCCCTGCACTGATTGAATGTTGATGAAATGTAGGCTAACACTTGTCTGCAGCTAGCTTATTTCACTGCTGACATTAAGCCAGCAGGTTAACACCACTCACAGCCTTTTATTATACCCACCTTTCTTGGTGAAAAACTGGGTTCCAGAGTGACATCCTTTCCTTTGTCTTTTCTCTCTTTCCTTTTTTGAAAACCAGGTTTTGGTTTACTATGCAACATTGTGATCACTGTATTTCTGGCGTATCTACTAATTGCAACTAAACATCACCACCTTTTTACATACAGTCTATGACCGTCACTGATACAGCGCGCTAAGGCAGGACCAAACCATTTCATGCAGATATGGGAGGTGGTCTGTCAATATGGATGTTGACTTTTTGGTCAATGGGGATATTTAACTTCTATTGCCAAAAACAAAGATATCATTAATTGTATTATTATATTTAAAATACTCATTGATGATGGTTTATATAAATATAATTTGATGTTAGTTTTTACCTATTTTTTGGGAATTGTCCTAACTTTCCCCCCCCTATATGGTGGCGCCCCTGCCAGCATGTGTTACAACCTACCCTGGTATTGGGGTAGGTTGTAACAAGGGAACACAATGCATTTGACATCAACTCAGGAGGTCTGTGATATTCTTGTAGAGGATTGAATTGGTGCCATTTGCAGTGAACAAATGTGAGTACTTTGTATAAAAGTTTGAGAACTCTAGCTACAAAATTCAATGAGTAGTATAGTATGTTGAATACAGTATAGTTGCTGTAGCAAAAAGTGTTACAACCATACCCGGTCTCCCCTATTAAAGACTTAAGAGTGTTCTGGAGTTCTGGAAAACCAGTGTCACAGTGTATTCCTAATGCAACATTTAGAAATAAATTATGCAGAAAGACGGAAATCTGGGATAATAATCCTTCTCGGTCACCTCCCAGCTTACCGGCACCAGCGACAACGACTTTGGCATCACAGCAGGAGAAGCAGTGCAGCAAAGATTTGGATCTGATGTTGTAGTTCAGCAAAGAAGCTATGCATCCCAGCTTGGCCAGTGCCAGCCAGAGCCACACAAACTGCGGTTCGTTGCCCAGGAAGAGAGCCACTGTGTCTCCCTCCTTCAGGTGGGCATGCGTGGAGAGAGCTCTGGCCACTCTGTTGCTTTCGTGGTCAGCTTGGCAGTAAGTATAGGAGCTTTCCTCGAAAAGTATAAAATTCTTATGCGGCTGCCTCGCGACTTTGTCCAGAAAACAATCCAAAATACTGTAAAAGGGTTTCTGCTTCTTGAATTTGTTTACTCGCATAGAAATTTTAATTGCAGTAATTGCATAGTTCAAATCTTTCAGGATATAAGGATTTCTCAAGTAAATCAATAATGGCAAAATTGCCAAACCTGTAAGGGCGGTGTATAAAATATATTCATACATTGTAATCAGGAGATATGTGTCAGTCCTGCAGCTGCAAGTGCCCTCAAAGGTTCAAGTTTCAGCAGTTTACAGCTGAATATACTCTTATTCAGTTACGCCCCTTGAACTTTGAACTATTTTCTTCTCTGGCGAGTAAAACAAAAGAGCCCAAAGGCCAATTTGTTCCTGAGTTGAAACAAATTCTCCAACTGTTGCCAATAGTGGCAATGATCACAATTCTATGAAAGGATACATTTAAAGCATTTACTGTTTGTCTTTACTGTTTGTTTTATTTTCGTGGTATCATTATTTTGTCAGAACAAGAACAGCCTCCCTATTTGCAGTGAACGCTGCCTAAACCAGGTTATGATTAAATTGTTGCCAATAATAATTTGGCAGCAATGACACAAAATCTTTTTTATCAACATTGTTCTGTCCTTATTTCTGTAGTACTGTAGATCAACTAATAAAGAGTAAAAAAATAATTTGTCATCATTAAGACATGATACTGAGAAAAATACACTTAATTAGCATAAACATCAGTGTGACCTACAGCCTACAAGAATTGCTTTGTGGCACTGTTTAACCAAGACAATAACAGTGAAAACAAGTTTGATGAATTTTACAGTTTTAAAATCAAAGATTAACTTCCTGTAAATCTCCGTCTTTTTTTATCTTAAGCAGCAAATTGATCATAAAAGAATAAAACCACCATTTCCTCCACCAGGATTGCTGAGACACAGGGTATATATTATACTACAATTACACAACAACAGCAATTTTGAGGGTGATGGATTCAAAGGTTTCAGATGGCGGGGCCTGGGGGGAAATTACTTACTGTGTCATAACTGTTGCGTCTGTTATGTCTGGTCTGTTTGTATATTTACTATTTTCCTGTATATATCGATGAAAACATGACATTTGAACTGCCATTTAACTGATTAGAACTGACAGATTTTGACAGTAAAAGTTGTACTTGCAGTAGTTTGTAGGGGGGGCTAAACAGATACACTGTCCATGTCAGTCCATAATAAACAAAAAAAGCAAACATGGTAAAAACTATATAGACATCCCTCTCCACATACTTCTGTGTACATTTGACTTAGTGCTGTTTTTCATGGATTGGGCTCCTTCATTCTACCTAAAAGAAATGTTAGTACTTCAGCACACAATATTTTCAGTGTTGGATTACGTATTTAGATCCTTTCCTTAAGAAAGAATACTAATACCACACTGGAAAATAATTTTCTCCCAAAACCACTTGGTTTTTTCCTTTTTGTATTTTCATGAATAGCATCTTTCAACCGAAATTTTCAAAACTGGAGAATTTTACATGACAACTTTAATAGTAACATTTTGTTCTAGCTCACAGCACCATACATTTCCTATTGAACACTGAGTGCCATTTTTCAGCAGTCCTGCAACAATAATTTTGTCTACATGTTATGCACCACGCTCCTTTAGAAAAGCTATGTTTCTATGGAGGATATGTTTCCTCTCATGACTTTAAAATGTACTATTGCTTTATATTTAAAAATAAAACAACAAGAAAAATTGATATGTACTTGTAACTTGTTTGAGCCAACAGGTGGAAAGGTGAGAATGTGGCCACAACCGAGGTGGGTGACATTCTGACGCTCAGTGACAATAAATGATAAATAATAATAAAGTGACATTTTCATTGAAAATGTCACTTTATTATTATTATACTTATTAGTATGTAAGTATAATCAGGAAAAAGAACTTGATACGAGGTGGCGCTCATATTGAATGAAGGATTATTTTCATTATGGATCTATCTGTTGAATATTTTCTCCATTTAATCAATTGATTTATTGGTTTGGAAAAATTGTGAAAATAGTGAGAAATGCTGTCACAATTAACCAGTGCTCAAAGTGACACCTTCATAATGTTTGTTTTGTCCAAACAACAGTCCAAACTTCTAAAATATAAACAATAACTCAAAATGATTCAAATAATTACAAGGAGAAGCAGCAAATCTTCACATTTGTGAAGCTGGAACCATTAAATGTTTTTAAATGAAAAGTTACTTAAACAGTCAAAATAGTTTATATAGCCAATTTTTTTTCTATCAATCAACTAATCGTTTCAGATGTCCTTTTATTTAAAGCAAAACACATTTTATTGACTCTTTGTATGTTTTGTGTGTAAAATATCTTAATTTCTAAAGTACCAAGTAACTTAAGCTGTTAGGATAATGTAGTAAAGTAAAAAGTACAATATTTCCCTCTGAATTGTAGTGGAGTAGAAGAATAATGCGTCATGAAAAGAAAACATTCAAGTAAATTTGCAATGAAGGGCAGTACTTGAGTAAATGTACATAGTTACTGTCTACCACTAAATATTTAAGACAATACTGTGCTTCCAACTTCTGTGTTGTTTTGTGGTTGGAAGAAGTGTTTAGGATCCTGTTTGTGGTTTTCAGCTTAGTCTTCACCAGTATCATCCCCACTCTTCTGCAGGACAAGCTCTCCCAGCTGAGTGATTCCACTTGCAAATGGATCACAGACTTCCTGTCTGACAGGAGGCAGCATGTGAGGCTAGGAAACATGTCTCTGACTCCCAGACTATCAGGAACCTGGAGCTCAATGTTCTTAAGACAATAGAGATGGTTGTGGATTGCAGAATGAGCCCAGCTCCACCCACATCACCCAGGTGACACTGTGGAGTCCATCCACTTGGGAACATCAGCTCCCTCACTAAGAAAGCCCAGCAGAGGATTTTTACTTCCGCTTCAGACACTCCCCTACGCCAGAAGGCTACAGTCCACGACCCCCACTGACATGCCCCCCTAACCCAATCCTTACAATACAGGACACTTATACTGTAAACTCTTGAACATGTAAATCCCATGTAAATATTTTGAACATCCCTGCACAAACTGTAATTTAACTAACAGCCATACAGTACATAATAATTCTTTCAGATCTTATCTTATTGTCTGTTTTATATTTAGGATTCTTGACCCTTTAGTACATGCTTTATCGTTTTCTTTCTTTATATTTTTTACTTAAAGAAATGGTTTTCTAGTTTGCTGGCCCACACAGAGCCTTGACCTCAATCTCATCCAACACCTTGGGGATGAACTGGAATGTCAACTGTGAGCCAGGCCTTGCTACTAATGCTAAAAATCATTAATGCCAGAGAGGCTGAATAGGAGAAAATCCCTGGGTGTAATTTTCAGGTGTCCACATTAATTTGTTTAATATTTTTGTCGATGTAGTGTATATGTATATCCAAACTACACTGAAGACTGAGACAAGCGTGTGCATTTGTCTCCACCTTGTGGTTTGTCCATGTCTATCAAACCTAGAATATTTCTTTTTATTGTTGTCACTATGATGAGTAAAATCAGGACATACACATGAAAACTACTTCTGGTTACAGTAACAATCACTTTAATTTTCAGAACAGTAATTCATATTTACAGATGTTGGCACATAAACATAAAAATCATGTTAAGCCCCATTCTACATCTGTTCTGTAACTGTTAAACCACTACATGCTACTCACAAAAGATAGTACCTGTGAGAGGAATTCCAGTAGCCACTGTCTTATTGTTAGTTTTCCATGGAGTCTGTCAGAAGCATCACATTGAAATACGTTCCTGTTTATAAATTTTGGTGTCTTTGCTGCGATGGGAGACCCCTCCCACCATCCCAACAGCATCACTATTACCAGACTTGCCAAAGTAAAAGCAGCAGTCCCCATACTGGAAAGCTGTCATCATGCTAGTAAATATACAATTTATATTATCACTTGCCAGTAAATATGTCATTCATATTATCAAACTCCCTCCTCCCCTTGCAGGCTGATTCCAGCCCTTTACACAAATCCTTACAAATGAATCCTACACTTCTGATTCCCATTTACTTTTAATAAAGGCGTTTATGTGTCCATATTATTTTATACAAATTATATGAGTATTAGTAAAAACATTCAGTCACAGAGCTGGAAGTTCATTATTATAAGTATCAATGCAGCCAGACAGAACACTAAGAACCTACTCATAATTTGATGCTTCCTGATATGATGGAGCTGTAGACCTGAGCTGCCAACGGTATGTAACTCTTCTCACGATCATCAAGGATGTAAAGAGGGTCCTGAATACGTCCTGGATTGAAACTCTCCTCCACTAACTTCATCTTCATCTGCTTGAAAGTCCCCGTCACTTCCATGACATTCTAGATGGAATCAAAATACTCACTCAGGTACAGTCTCAAAATATCATCATTTTTTTTCACATGATGCAAACACTGTAATTAAATGTACATGGTGTTTCTTCCAAAAGTGAAATGCAGTGAAGTTTGTGTGAAACAAAATTACCTGTATCCTTATAAAGCGAGGTCGGGCATATGAGGGCAGGTAGCTAACCACATGGTTATATATTTTACTTCCATCAAACTGGGCCCCTTCCTTCACAGTGACAGCTGCCATCCCTATCCGCCCCTCGTGCCCTACAAGTAAAACAGAAACAGACAAAGCACTTGTCTTTATTGCTTAATTTATTATAAAATCAGTATCTACTTTCAGTGTTGTGTCATTTGGAAGTCATGATATTCTTACTAAACATACTGTGAGGTAAAAATGTACAGAGAAAAGGACCATCACCTGGCACTTGAACTCCATAAACGTTGGCTTCTTTGAGACAATCACTGAGCGTCAGAATGTCACCCACCTCGGTTGTGGCCACATTCTCACCTTTCCACCTGTTGGCTCAAACAAGTTACAAGTACATATCAATTTTTCTTGTTGTTTTATTTTTAAATATAAAGCAATAGTACATTTTAAAGTCATGAGAGGAAACATATCCTCCATAGAAACATAGCTTTTCTAAAGGAGCGTGGTGCATAACATGTAGACAAAATTATTGTTGCAGGACTGCTGAAAAATGGCACTCAGTGTTCAATAGGAAATGTATGGTGCTGTGAGCTAGAACAAAATGTTACTATTAAAGTTGTCATGTAAAATTCTCCAGTTTTGAAAATTTCGGTTGAAAGATGCTATTCATGAAAATACAAAAAGGAAAAAACCAAGTGGTTTTGGGAGAAAAAAACAAAACTTTTTTGAAAAATGTCTCTCTTAAACGTAATGCAGGTAAATTAATGAGGAAAGAAATCAACTCTACAGAAATTAAAACACACGACACGTCTCATATGGATCTTGCCTGTAATAAATTCTTTAACTGACTATTGTCCTGCTTTTCTCTTTTAACAGTAAAAGGTCACTGCCCTTGTGATGTTTTATCCTCTATTTGTTTAAGTCTTTCATTTGTAGTTGTATAATATGACTGATATTGCTGCATAAAACTATAAGTAATTCTGTTAAAAAAAAGAAAAAAGAAAATATTATGCTTCAAAATTAAATCCTGGTGGAGAGGCATTCTGTACCTGAAGGTGTCACCGACACGATCCTGAAAGTAAATGAAGTTGTCGTTATCGATCCTCATTAGGTCTCCACTGTTGAAGTAAAGATCTCCTTTCTTGAGAACATTACGAAGTCTCTTCCTCTCTGTGTGTTCTTCATTCTGGGCGTAGCCGACAAAAGGAGCAATGTCTGTGATCTTCGACACCAGAAGTCCAGTCTCACCTTAAAGAAAAAGCCAAGACACGTCTTTTACTGCCAGTGTCTATCAATGGACTACTTGCCCCATCACTGGGATCCTGATTTGGTTGGTAAATAGTCCCTGATGACAAGACATCCAGAGTGTCATACAAGGATTTATTTCTTCACCTGTGGGTGCCACCACACAGAGGCCATTGGCATCTCGAATTGGTTCATCCCGCTCTGTGTCATACTTAATCAGAGTGTAGGGAAACAGCTTCTACAGGAGGAAGTAAAGACATCAGTATTGCATCTTGTTCCCAATACGTCTTTATACCAACAGCGAACTAAAACATATACTTCTTATTATTACAATAGTACATTTACATCTACAAATTCAAGGTTCTTGTACTTTACTTAAGTATTTCCATTTGATGCACTTTTATATACTTCTACTCCGCCACATCTCAAAGATAAATATTGTACTTCTTACGCCACTTTCTTTGTCCGACAGCTTTAGTTACTAGTTACTTTTTAGATTGCAATTTTTCATACTCTTCCTGTCAAGTGAAAACCACGTATCTCCACATTTGGTGATTTTGAGTTTGAATGTTTCTGATAAATGGAATGAATAAAGTCTTCCTTCAAAACCTCACCCTGGATTCAACATCTCAAAAAACTCTCATTCTTACCCGATGCAAGAAATTGACTCGTCCAATAGCTCCAATTTTCCCTGCGTAGTTGACAAATCCCACATTTCCCTCAGTGGAGGCATAAAACTCTCGGATCTGAATGTTCCCAAAGCGATTGAGAAACTCTCTCCATATCTCTGCTCTGACACCATTGCCAATGGCCAGTCTTACTTTATGGTCCTTGTCATTTTCTCTCTGCATTTTCATATAAAAATAAAAAATAATACATTAAGCATTTTGCAAGTGCTACATCATTTATTTCATTTCATCATTTTATACTTAATTCATGAATAGTCGTAGTTCTTCATTCTGATCAAGTATGCCTAATCCCTGCCTATATGTAAGAATGTGACATTAGAAACCAGTTCACAGTAGCAGTGACATATCAGAGTGACCTAAAAATACTCATCTCTCTAAAAACTACTACAAATACAGTGTAAGAAACACTATTCACTGTAACAAATGTGACCCTAAAGTTGCGTACTAGTCCAGGGATATTTGGCTGCCAAGTTACTTGATATGGTCTTTCTAAGTAAAGGCCAGCATCTATTCCTGAGGTGACCAGATACAGATAAACCAGCTCGGGGGACAAGGTCACGCAGTAAATTGAGACTGCACTTCATGTGATGCAATTAGATACTCTGAATGGAATTACACGTAGACATAATGTTTGCAGTACTCTAAAATACCATAGATGCACCTTTCAGTGGTCTCAAAAGTATGCACTCATTCTGATACTTAAAATGTAAAATGTGTATTTTCCTGTATGTATCCATAATGTTTTGTGCTGTTAAATCGCCTACAGAAAATGACGCAGAAGGCTGGAACCCGATAGTTGAGATTTAATGATTTCTATTTTGGTAAGCCAGCTGTGCTGCACTGTGGGAATGTACAGATTTGGGAAGTTAATCTCTGACTAGATCTGCCTCAATGGCGGCAGATGTCTCAAGCGAAGGAGTTTTTACAGCAGGTTAAGTAGGTTAATAAATAAAGTAGCAGGTTAGTAAATAGGGTTACGATTTACTTATCACATCATAACAGCCCCTTCACAACCACAGATGACAGAAACTTTAATACATCCATTTTAGCTGTCACTTGACTTCTATTCTGAGTAAGAGGGAGGGTCATCTTAAAGTTCTTCCAACCCTGAATGCCACTGGTTTAGGTTTCACTTGAGAGTTTTAACTGTCACATGATCAAGACACTGCTGCAAAGGCTCTTCCACACTACAAAGAAAACAAAATGGGGTGAACCTGGAATAATTGATGCTTATTGGCATAAGATGAAAATTAATGGGCAGTATCAGCAACTTAAAATAGTTACAGTTTTAATATGTATACAATCAAGCCCGAAATTATTCATACCCCTGGCAAATTCTGACTTAAAGTTACTGTTATTCAACCAGCAAGTTGTTTCTTGATTAGAAATGACACAGGCGTCTCCCAGAAGATAAGACGATGTACAAGAGGCATCATTGTGGAAAAAATTATTACTCATCTTTTATTTACATTTGAACAAAAAGTGGCATGTCCAAAATTATTCATACCCGTCTCAATAATCAATCGAAAAGCCTTTATTGGCTATTACAGCAATCAAATGCTTCCTATAATTGCTGACCAGCTTTCTGCATGTCTCCACTGGTATTTTTGCCCATTCATCTTTAGCAATGAGCTCCAACTCTTTCAGGTTGGAGGGTTGCCTTGCCATCACCCTGATCTTTAGCTCCTTCCACAGATGCTCGATGGGATTTAAGTCAGGACTCTGACTGGGCCACTGCAAAACGTTAATGTTTTTGTCTGCTAACCATTTCTTCACCGCATTTGCTGTGTGTTTTGGGTCGTTGTCGTGCTGAAATGTCCACTGGTCCCCAAGGCCAAGTTTCTCTGCAGACTGGCTGATGTTGTTGTTGAGAATTTTGATGTATTGCTCCTTTTTCATGGTGCCATTTACTGTGATTAGGTTCCCTGGTCCACTGGCTGAAAAACAACCCCAAAACATTAGGTTCCCACCACCATGTTTGACAGTGGGGATGGTGTTCTTAGGGTTGAAGGCTTCTCCTTTTTTACACCAAATGAAGGCTACATCATTGTGGCCAAACAATTCAATTTTTGTTTCATCTGACCATAAAACAGACCAGAAGTCTTCTTCTTTGTCCAGATGAGCATTTGCAAAGGCCAAGCGGGCTTTTGTGTGCCTTATCTGGAGAAGTGGTGCCCTCCTTGGTCT